ACACACTGAGACACAGCAGCCCTGAGGACAGACTGAGACACAGCAGCACCGAGGACAGACTGAGACACAGCAGCCCTGAGGACACACTGAGACACGGCAGCCCTACGGACACACCGAGACACGGCAGCACTGAGTACAGACCAAGACATGGCAGCACTGAGGACAGACTGAGACACAGCAGCACTGTGGACAGACTGAGACACAGCAGCCCTGAGGACAGACTAAGAAACAGCAGCACTGAGGACAAACTAAGAAACAGCAGCACTGAGGACAGACTGAGACAGACTGGGATCCAGTTCTGGGACACAGCAGCACTGAGGACAAGGTGTCAGACACGATGCTGAGCAGGTAGGAGCCCATCTCACTGTCTATAGGAGCCCCACCCGGACCAGGGTGAGCGATCAGACACTGGGCACAGAGAGAAACACACACAGAGAGCACTGCAGCCTCCAGGCACAAACTAAGGTCTTCATGCTTATTCACAGCAAGACCCATTGCAACAAATTAGCAAATATTAATAGCATGTATATAGCTGTCATTCGTACTGCATAAACCAGAACTAAAATGAATATACTTAAGATGGGTATATTTATAAAATGTTTGAAAGTAAGAAAGCTAATCTCCAGCCATCCATTTTCTAACTGGTTTTATCCAGTACAGGGTCAGGTGGAGCAAGAGCTCAAGCTCTGGGCACAAGGCAGGGTACACCCTGGACAGGACGCCAGTCCATTTCAGGGCAGACAGACAGATACACACACACACACACTCACACCAGGGCCAGTTTTCCCTGAAGCTGATTAAGGGAGTCGTCCGCATGTCTTTGGACGGTGGGAGGAAACCAGAGCAACAGTTGGACACCCACATGAACATGGGAAGAACATGCAAACTCCCCACAGACAGTCACCCCAGGTCTGGAATTGCACCCAGGGCCTCAGTGCTGTGAGGCAGCAATACTAGGGGCTTGTAGCAGTTCCCTATAACAGACAGACAATGTGCCTGTTTCTCTCTGGCGGTTAGCTGTGCTTGTTAGGTTGAACTGACCTGCACTGTCTGTGCTTGATATGCACAAGTTGCGGCAGTACCCAGCCATTCCCAGAACACGGCGAAGTTCGCGTTTTGTTCTAGGCACAGGGACGTCCGCTTTTTGATGCGGCAACTTCGGCACCCAACAGGGCGCACCTGACCTTGACCCACCTGCTTACCCAAATAAGTCACGGCTGCTTTAGCACATTCCCCTTTTGCCAAGCGGAGTGTCAAGGAAGCCTTCCCATGGCGCCCGGACGCTGCTCCCGAGGCGTGTACCGGAAGAGTACACCACCTCGTCCTCCAGGTATGCCCCACAGTTCGGCGCGCCCCCGCCAACGCACAACCCACCGGCCTCTGAAAGGGAGCGCGGCCGGAGCGTTGCGCGTACCTGGGGCCGTCACCGCGTACCGCGGGCAGCGGTCCGGAGCGACGAAGTTCAGTTAAAGGGACTTGCCCATAACCCTTCAGCAAGTCAAGCTGGGCGGACCCAACGCGATCAATACAATCTTCCATCCTGGGAAGAGGACATGAATCCGGCCGAGTTGGACTTTTCTGTCATCTGTACAAAACCGCTTCGTCCCGTCAGGTTTGGGCACTACTAGAGAAGGGGAGCTCCACGGACTAGGACTCGTTTTCGCTTAGACCGCGCTCTCCTTCTGCAGAAGAGCACGTTTCCTTGGGTCTACACGATCAGGGCGCTGTTCAATAGGAGGGGCGCTACCCACGTCAGTGTCATGCTGAATCACAGGGAATGAAGCAGAACGGTTTTTCAATGAGAGATATTAGATCTTTTCTTTCTATTTCAGACAAATGAGACAGGCAGGAAGACAAGTCAGCCAGAACTTCCGAGTCCGCTAACCGAGCGCACTGAATCGACACATGACGCATTTCAAGCTCGCCTGTCTCCGGGCCGTGTCCACCACTGCTTGCTCGCCACAGATGCAGAAGCCGGAGGGACTACCGGGTTATTAACCGACTCATTTCCAGGAGTAGCTAGCTTCACGCTGCTGTTTCCAGGACGATATTCTCTATCAAAGTACAGTTGTAGCATCTTAACGTGACACACAAGGGTTTGTCGTTTACGGTCGGGAGCGCAGACAACGTCATCACTTGCGCTCAGTTTGCGGTCAATGACATACGGGCCGGAAAATCGTGCGTGTAAAAGCCGAACCAGATATCGGTAATAGGACTAAAACCTCGTCTCCTGACTGAAATTCCCGAAAAACCCATTTCTTGTCATATCGAGTCTCCATTTTAGACTGCGAAGAAGACAGAGACCTTTGAGCGACAGAACAAGCATGATGTCATCTCTCGCGAAAAGTACCAACAAAATCCAATACATTATGATTAGAGTCGGAATCTTCAGAGCTCATATGTGTCTTTTAACAATTTCAAAGGCCCACTGACACTACCTCCAAATACAGGTTCGGCTGGACTGAACCCCCAAAGATCCCTGCGTGGTTGTCCTCACAGCAAACACAACAAGAGGCGCACCCTCATCCCAGCCCTGTCCAGCCTCGAAGCAATACGCACGCATTGGATGACCAGCGCTAGAGGTGGCGAGCTTAACCGACAGCTGCCTCATGACCTGTGCCGAAAGGTTAGACATAAAATTAGTCCCTCGGTCGGTTTGTATCACTTTTGGCCGCCCGAAGAGAGAGAGGAATTGAAGCCGAGCCTTCACGATCACCGGAGGCGGTATTTTACGCAGCGGGAGAGCCTCGGGGAAGCGAGTAGCAGCACACATCGCGGTCAGCAAGTACTGCTTGGCAGATTTAGTTTTTGGCAGCGGGGACCAACACAGTCACTAAAAACGCGCACAGATGTTTCTCCTATAGTCGGTACGGGATAGAGCGGAGCAGAGGGAATGACCTGCTTTCGGTTTTCCTGTTCATTGACAGGTAGGGCACGTTCTACAGTACCGGACCACGTCTGCCTTCAGACCCGGCCAAAAGAAATGTCTTAAAATACGGCTATGTGTTTTCGTAACCCCTAAGTGTCCAGGCGAACAATGAGCTAAACACGGGACACGAGGGCGAGAAGCAGTAGGTACGACAACCTGATAGACGGAATTCCCAACCATCGTCTCTGCATCTGGGAGGAATCCATTCGCGCATCAGGATTTCCTTAGCGATAAAATACGCCACATATTTTTCCGTAACCGCCTTTGAATCCACAACAGCAGACCGAGGAGCAGCGAGAGAAGAACCGGCTTTCCGTGCTGCTGTAGCGGAGCTAGTTCGGACACGGTGACGTTAGCGCCCTCCCTGCGCATAGCGGGGACCTCGGCCGACTGGGCTAAGGGAGGTCTCGTTTAGCTCCTGCGGCTGGTTCCCTGTTGCGTTACGCCGGAGACCCGGGTTTGCGCCCCAGGTGTTGCGGAGGGAACGAGCCAGCGCGGAACCGCGACGGTCACACTGCAATAAGCTGTTCTCTAGTTACGGGCAATTTCAGCATATACATCACTCTCACTAATTTGCACCGGAGTCCTTTTCACACTACTCGAATCTGCACGAATCAAAGGACCCTTATCATCCGTAATAGAAGCAGCCATAAAAGTGTCAGACAGGTCGACATCCTGCATGTTCCAGCCTGGGAACGTGTAACAACACACGCAGAAAATACATCAGGCCAGAGTGTCCAGAAAAGCGCTGTATAAAAGTAAAGCACTATTATTAATGATTATATTTCTTTCAAGGTGTTAAATAAAAATAGCCCTTCCAACAGGATTGTCAGAGGGGTCACTGTACTGTAGAGACCAGCCGAGAGGTCAGCTATATCACTGTAGAGACCATCAGAGAGGTCAGCTGTATCACTGTAGAGACCAGCAGAGAAGTCAGCTATATCACTGTAGAGACCAGCAGAGGGGTCAGCTATATCACTGTAGAGACCATCAGAGAGGTCAGCTGTATCACTGTAGAGACCAGCAGAGGGGTCAGTGTACTGTAGAGACCAGCAGAGAGGTCAGCTATATCACTGTAGAGAACAGCAGAGTGGTCAGTATACTGTAGAGACCAGCACAGGGGACAGCGTGCTGTAGAGACCAGCAGAGAGGTCAGCGGTATCACTGTAGAGACCAGCAGAGGGGTCAGTGTACCGTAGAGACCAGCAGAGGGGACAGCAGTATCACTGTAGAGACCTTCAGAGGGGTCAGTGTACCGTAGAGACCAGCAGAGGGGACAGCAGTATTATTGTAGAGACCATCAGAGGGATCAGTGTACTGTAGAGACCAGCACAGGGGACAGCGTGCTGTAGAGACCAGCAGAGAGGTCAGCTATATCACTGTAGAGACCAGCAGAGTGGTCAGT